GATTCACTATTGTTGAGTCTATCCCAAAAACTAACGAAAAGGAGGCACCGTTACCTCCTCCGTCGAGACTGAGTGCGATTTCGTTCGCCGACGTTGAACAACAGCCTTCTGGTGTTGAATTTGGTATGTTTCAAATAACCCTATGCCTTATAAGAGCTTAATTGCTTCGGACCCATGGTCAATGCAAGTATATTGGTTTTACCTACATTTGTTTTTTGTTTATAACAACAGATCTACTAGCTGTAGTGGCAAACTGTGGTGCAATGCAATACACCGCTGATCAGACTAAGAGATTTCAAGAGGCCATAGTTATGGACAATACGTGAGTCATTTAATTTTCTGTTACATAACAAAATCTCTAACTGACACTTATAAAAGTACATGTACAGGAAGAAACCTCTTTCTTCACTATATGGGAAGATTTGGCAAGCAATGAAGGAATTGAGTTACTGAGACAAGTGAGGCAACTTCAAGAATATCCTGTTATTCTCGCGAAACGGATAGGTACCACAACATACCATGGTGGTAAGTTCATTAAGTTCCTATTTTTATATATGGATAATGGTTCCGCGTTGGTTATTAACAAAATTTGCATACACAGTTTCCCGTTTGGCAACAAGATACAACTCAACAATCTTAATCAATCCCCTATATGTGCAAGCAACTGAATTACGGAATTGGTACAATACAAACTGTGCTTAAAATGTATCACATCATTATTCAATTATAATTTTTTCTGTGAAAAAAAAATTGTCTGACATTTCCTGTGCGAATTACAGGGTAGATGAGAACAAAGAAATGTTAATCGAATACACAGTGAAGAGTTCAGCGGAGTCAGCTTCATCGCTTAATCTTGTAGCTGTTGACGATGAAATATTATCTGTTTCATCTATTGCTACTCAAACCTCCAGTGTGAGTTCAGTAAATTACAATATGGATAACTGTTAAACCTCCAGTGTGCCACACCATGTATCTTTTATACAATATGGATAACTGTTAAATATGTTCTAATATGCTACTATTCGTGTCAGCCCAATAACATTATAGTCTAAACAATATTAGAGTATAAATTTTTGGAATAAACTCTTACGCTAAAATTCAACTACCTATCAAATAGATCCTCTTATGTTGTTTACCTTTTTTTGGAATTTTGTTAGGTTCTGTAGTTCCAAATTACCACATATGTTATTTTTCTTACTTGCTGGCCATATTGAACACATGCTAATCAAATAGATGTATACCAGAAGCTTACAACTTCAACTATGGCTGCTTACTTACTGTTAATTATAGCAGACTAATTATCTTGCTAGTAGTTATGTGCTTCATACAAATCCTACATTTTCCATATGTTAATAAGAATATTATCAAGTGTTCGGGTTGATCCGCCATTTTGATCTCTCTTGTTACTATAGGCACCTTACAGTATCTTATTACTCAATACAAGCTACAATATTGTTCCTCTAATATGCAACTTTGTATTATTTCGTCACTGGAAATTATATGCAATTAACAATTGATGATTTACCAAGTTCCATTGCTTATATTATAAAAAAAATAAACCTGACGACTTGTTTCATTATTTACACTTTCCATGCAGAAATTGTTTACGTGGAAGGAGAAATTTCGCTACCTGGGCATTTCCAACGATTTTATCTGCTACGTTGTTCTGAATGCAACCATCTTGTTCGGAGCAAAATAAAAAGGGAGATTCAATGCATAAACTGCAGGCTACCACGAATGTTAATTCCAAGGTAACAACCGCTACTAATAAGATGATGTCACTGGCAATATTTAATACTGTGTGCATTAATAATCTGTGTCGCCTCAAAAGTCAAAGTAGCCAGTTTTTCTTAAAAATGTGATAATATCACCCCTCAAGGCTTTTTTCATGTTCTTTTGTTTTTCTTATGCATACACGTTGATAACCACTTTGCGATATTTTGGGATGCACTATAGCTGAAAACTCATTTAAGCTCACTAAAGCACAGGCAATGAGCTAAACAAAAACAAACTGTAGCTTTCTTTAACCACAACTAACGCTATTCTAACGGCAGAAGAAAACAAAGGCAGAGGCACAAACTACTGCATTTCTTCTGCTGGCATTTGCAGTTACAAGTATTTTATTTGATTTTTACCTTGTTTATTATATGTTTCTCTATTTCTGACTTATGGAACTTTGTCAAAGTAAAGCTTTGGCCAAGTTATGAATAGACCAATGAGTTTCAGTTAAACTCTGATTACTTTCACCCTCTTTTCACTATCCGAAAGAATTTTCTTTCCTTTTTTGTTCCAATAGTTTTCATGTCCTGACTTTTGAATAGCTACAGAGAAAACTCAAATGTTCAGGCTTCTATTATTGTAAAAGTTATGCCTGAAATAAGTTAAAACTATTAGTTTTCCTACCTGATTTCTTATATGTTACTTTGTGCGAATCATAGAAACGTAAAGCCTTGACCTAATTATTAATAGGTCAATGAGTTTGTGTTCTGTTCAATCTATCTGTTATCTTTTAACTCGATTTATTTGTGGTGTAAAATGTGATACTTTTAATGATATATAAATATTGTAATTACAGAACTGTTTTGGAATTTGTAGTGTCTCTATATTTTCAATTGAACTGTAAAACCACATCATAGGTGCCACTTTGAGGTAGAAATTACAGATGAAACAGGCACGACGACAGCAACAGTGTCTGAAGGCTTGGGCGAAAGGATGTTGTCAACGACAGCTGAACAAATATACGATATCATCAACATTAAGGTACATACATATACAACATTGCAGTTAACATAAGCCAACAAAGTTAATATAATACTTCGATAGTTAACACATAAACATAAGCTTTGACAAGTCCATTGTTTTTCCTATCTGTTTGCAGAATGAGTTATTCCCTGTTGCCCATATCAATCAACTACTTGCAGATAAACTGTTCAGAATTCAACTACAAAGGTCATCATCCAGAACACCAGACAAAAATGCAGGTTCTCTGGTCCTTTTATCATACACTGAAAAACCAACCATGTTTCTACCAGAAGAGTCAGCATCTGTGGGTGATGCCGAGAGAATTATGGAAGAAGAGTCAATACTTGGGGCTAATGCAAAAGCAATTAAGAAACGGAAAAGGGAACCAAGTACTCTACTAAAGCCGCAGTCAAGGTTAGAATATTTGCATACTGCTCTCATCCATACAATTTTTTATGATATTTGTTTCAGGATTTGTTTTGTCTTTCAAAATGGTGTTCCATTTCGAGATATTAAAAAAAAAGTAGTGTTTGCTAAGGAGAATGAATTGATTTAGGTGGTGAAAATCATGCAATAGTTTATTTTAAAGCTGGACAACTTAGACCTTTTAGCTGCACATGTAAGGAGTCGAGATATTTTTTTCCTGCATAAGATTCTTGATTAAATTTTGGCTTCCTTTTTGGTCTCATAAAATTTTAAAATGCCTGATGAGATATCTATTCTCCTTGATTTTTTATATACTGACAAATCACTTACATAACCATTTTATGTCACCATGTAATGTATGTACCGCTAAAGCTCTCTTTGGGAGGTAAGTTGAGTTATCACAATACAAGAAAAACGTCATATTTAGTGTTACCCACCTCTATGCCGGCTTCAGTGAGGCAGCTAACATCCCACAAGAATAACCATGGATATGTCCCATTACAGATACATATTTTGTTGTTATTGAGAGTCAGATGTTTGGATAGGTTGACTTATGCAGTTTTGTGGGATCTGTTTGGAAGTGTTAAACGTAATGTTTCAAATATGAAAATAAAATCTCTCTTTATTTGAACAGATTGTCAAGGCAGTGATGTTCGCTGAAATGGTATGCGATGTACAGAGACATTTTGACAGATCATACCGATCTTTTAACAAGGTTTAGATAGTTGGCCGCCTTAACAAAATGTTCCACATTTTTTGCCTAAATAGTTGTCAGTAGTGTATGCCTATGTTTGGTATTATTTTTTGGATCTTGGAGCGGCCTCCAGATATTGTATAATGACATCTTATAATTAGGATCCATGTACATTTCCGAAAGTTTGCGAAGTTTATCCCATGGTGTTTACTTTTATACTACTGATGTCTACTTTTACTATTTAACAAAAGAATTATAGATGTATAATGGGCTTCGGCGTCATAACAAAGAGCTAAACAGAAGGATTTCCTCTGTTTTGAGAGGTTATTTTCGATTTCGGATGCTTCGTTACAATCTCTTATGGCTTGTGGAAATTCCTGGAGATTTAAATGAGCTTCGACGTGATTACAAAGAGCTAAACAAATGGATCTGTTTTCAAAGGTTATTTGAATCAAGATTTTTGTACCATGTATTACTAGCTTCTTCTTCTTTTTCTTCTGCAAACAATGAAGTGGTTCAACATTACTCTAGAAAGCTAACTAATGAAATTTTTAATTTTTTAGCTATGTAATCTCAAGATAGATATACAAACAGAATTGTAATTCTAGCAGTAACTACAAAGTTATTGCACTCCAGGTCATCATGTAGATTTACATTTACCTTTCTTTCGCTACTGCACATATAAACACCACTATCAGCAAAATTATCTGCTAATCTTTTGTGACAAATAAAAATAAGTTTACACTATAATTTGTTGGGCCCATGCAAAGCATGGGCAACATTATCTAGTTAGATTTACAATATCCAGTTCTTTTCCAGTTATACAGTATTACCCTTTTACTGCAACTTCCAGTAACTAATAATTGACCGTTGTGGTTTTACTTCACGCGCACGTGCACGGCCTGTAGATTGAAATTACTGTCACACCAGTGGTATTCTCCCGTAATTATATCCCAACTCCAAGCCTGAGTTACATCAACTGGTGACGATTTTAAACCCCTGATTTACCTCCTCCCTGATATTTCTAACGTTTTCACCAACTACCTCTAGACTCCACTTGTCAGTATCTTATTCGTCTGTTCTCTCTATAAAATGACCTCCTCCATTGCCTTACACTCTCTAACTATTCTCTCACTTTCTCTCTCTAGCTATAGATAGGCTTTTCTCTCTCACGCATACAATCTCAGATCTGTGTATGTACAGTAAAAAGATAGACGTATATTTGATGTTCAGTTTGCATTTATCGCGGCGGTCTCTCATTCGCTTGGTGCAGGTCGGGACCTGCCTCGCCGGCGACAATGACGTCTGCTGACGGTGACGGTGGCGTATCGATAGATATACATGTTGTTTATGACGAAGTTTTGGTCCCGCCTTGCATCAACTGAATCGGAGACTGCGGTGAATTTAATTTGTTTCAAGTAAATCAGCTTTGTTATGGATCCATCTAATATCTACCGCTTGTTTCCTGTGAGGTATTGAATTTTTCAAATGGATTTTGATATTATTTGCTTTATTTTTGTGTTGTATTTCGATTGAATTTTGCTGGATCTAACTTTGTCTGTTGAGCAGCGTATAACTCCAATGATAGATCTAAGAGGATTTTGCGAATTCGATGCCATTAGTTAAATGAAGATGTTTGATTTTATTGAGTACAGTTAATGTTATGATTTAGGTAATCTGTAATTAAGAAACGTGATAGATTGTATTGGAAGCTTTTCTGCATTAATTCCCTTTTCAGATAGTTTAGGAGGATGAAGTAACTAAAAGATACGGGTTTTGATGAATGCTACATTAAAACTTTGTTAAACTGTACTAGAATCGGCTTTAGAGACGTTTAGTGCTGTTGTTTTTGCACAGAATTTGAGTAGCACAATAAATTTGTTGAAAAGGAAGAGTTTTTCCTCATCCTAATCCTATTTTTTGGTACTACTACCTATTGTGACGTTTGAGGATTTGTTGAACTTCAGTGTTATATGAGGACTGAGTGTGTATTGATAAGGCCGAGGAAAATTGCTTTTCACGATTAAAATCAATGTTTAGTGACCCGAAATGCTTTTGCAGTGAAAGCAATTTTACCAAAAAAGAAAAATGACTTCCTAGGAGAAAACTCATTTCCGTATAACATAACACCTACTTTATACACTTGTTTTAATTGATACAAAAACAATGTTTGCAATCTCTATCACATGTCACCTATACCCAACTAAACTCTTATGTTTCGGAAAATACAACAACAACAAACCCATTATAATCCCACTGTCACATAGTGGAGCCTGGGGAGGGTAGTGTGTACGCAACCTTACTCATACCTTATGGAGATAGACTGATAGAGAGTCTATTTCCAATAGACTCTCCGCTCAGAGAAGCATAAGCACCACATTAAAGAAGAGAAAAACAAGAAGCGCAACAGTGATCTTATGTTTCGGAAAATGCTTTTTCAAATTAAAAGTTTTTAATGGAAGACTTTTGTTTGTATGCTTAGTGCACCCATAATGGAAGCTCTATATATTGGTTGTAGGATGAACAAAGTTATGTTTCTTTAAAGCTGGGAAAAAGTTTGTGACAGAGAAGATAGTTGTATACCTTTTTATTATTTGATGACCTAGTGTCCAAGTCATCTTGTGCACACCTTGGTAAATTCACTCGACAGCCTGTCCAAATCACAGGTGCATGTCTGCACCTTGCTCACTAAGGTTGGAGCAGATGTGCTCGCACCAAGTGCCGTAACTGGGATTCCAACCTTGGGGGATCTCTGGGTGGTTATTTCCATGCTTCAACCACTAGGCCATCCCTTTGAGTATTGATATATTTTTCCAAGTATATGTTGATATCAAATCTTAGTATAAAGTGTTTATTTCGAACCTAATTATTTGGATACTAATGCTGGCTAGGCTTTATCTTTAGTTCATTCTAAACAAAGGAATACCAAGCAGTATAACTGCTGCATTTTTTCTTTTTTACATTGTTTCTATTCCATCAACTTAGCTTCTGACCTAGAAAGATAATTCAGCCATGGAATTTGTATTTAAATTTGAAGTTAAGTTGGGAGCTAATGGTATGTATTTCAGTTTGATCTTGTCTCTATAACTTTTTTCGTATGCGGTAGTCGGATTTACGACTATAGTTTTCCTTTTGTGTCTTGTAGCCACTTTCTTTCATCTATTATGGGCAAAGAAAATTGTTAATTTCTTCTGGTGTCTGAAGCTATGTGTTGATAATATAACTTGTCATTCTTTGGACTAAACCCCTTAAATTTTCCTCAAACTAAAAAGTATCAGTCTGGGATTTTATGCTGTAGGATTTGAATTAGAGTCCAGTTTCATCCAAGAGAACATGTTCGAAAGTGATTCATGTGCATGTTCTGTTGATGCAGATTTAGTTGTCGCTACATATTTCTGAGATAATAGGCTCTATAACAAGCCGGAAAATTTCATCTGGAGAAGATGATCTCTTAAATTTGTTTCAGTTTAGGTGGATCCTAATGGTCTTAAATCAAAATTTGGACTTTAAAGCAAACGCCATGCATAGTCTGTTTGATCAGTAGTCATTCAGTGTCTTCAATACTTTTAGCTCATTCCTATCCCAGAATTTTCAGTTTGTCATGGGATAAGCTGTTGAATAGTTCAAATAGTGTGTTCGTCTTTTTTTTTTTTTTGGTTCCTTTTTTTTTGTACAGTTGATATTAGGTTGCACTGCACTTTTCTGTGGTTGATATACCAGTTGCATCTGTCCTTTTTTATGAAATTTTGCATTTACTATCTCTCCTTTTCATCTGTAGCCCCTTCCCTTTTACCAACTCTATGCTTATCACTCTTCCCAATAGTAACTGTACTTGTTTTTTGTCCAGCTTAATGGGTTTACCATTTCAGCTGGAGTAAGTTGTATCAAATATATTTGCGATAAAGTTTACTTGCTGGGTGTTAACATAAATTCTCCTATATATCTTCACAGTTAGGAATCTTTTACAACCCCCCCACCCCCCCCCACCCCCCAAAAAAAAAAACACATAAAAAACTCCCTCTCTCTAACATCATTTATATTTTCACTTTTAGCTGAACTGAATGTGAACCTGAGCTATTGAATTTAGGCTGTGCTGTGTGGTAACAGTTGTCTTGGACTGGCTTAAGACCTGAAGCAAGAAATGGACTGTGATTGAAGGCAACACTTCAAAGACTAGCAGAGGATGGTCTACTACCTTAGTTACCACGTGAAACTGATAACACAAGGTGATGGGTGGGAAAATATGACCCCTCTCCTTATACGTTGTTCCATTTTGTTCACATTTGTAGAGTACCCCTTCTTTTATCCACCATTATTGGATGCTTAATTTTGTGAATGATGAAGTCATTCCTGTAGATCTAGCACATCTGCTGCTGGGAAAATGGAAGATGGAAAGTAATTGTTTTTTTTGTCCAAATGCCAGAACGCATAGGGTTTAACTTTATTGTTGCTTCTAATTTGTGAACTACCGATCCAGTGTAGCTATATTATCTAATTTAATAGGCTTAAGGGTGCTTTACTGATTTCCTTTTCTGATTTCTTCCTATTGTATGTGAATTTCCTACTTGTCTTAGAAGGAAAGCAGATTATCGTCTAGTGTAAATAGTATCAGCTGTTCTTAATAGTGATCTAATCTTCTAAATATGCATCGAATAAATTATGAGTTGATCCAGAGTATTTGCCAGGGCTTAATGCTTCTTTGGTACTTCATGTAGCCTTGTATTTATAGAAAGTTATTACCACATCTTCATTTTCCTTTTCGAAGTTTAGCAGAGAAAACTCGTTCAGTGGTAATATTTAGGAGAAATTCCGAGGAACTTCCTGACAAATATAGATAGACGGAATGAGGATGGTGAGTGATTCTGAAAGATTCTTAAAGAGGAGCAAACTTTGAAAAGACTAAAAAAGCTTTTTCCACTGCGTAAAGATGAAAACATGAGTCAGAAACTGAACCCGAAATGGGTGATTTATATTTTGGTGAACTCCAGGTTGCCATATTCAAATCAATATCAGGAATATTTATAGGTGTTACCATCTCCAACTTAATCTGTCTTTCCACCATCATTCCTCCTCTTAGTCTAACCAGTATTCCCCTCTTCTAAAGTTCGTACTATCATATACTTCGGCTCTTCTCCTATTGTGTGGAATGGCACTGCGTACTCTTTGCTTTACGTACACTAAATAGATTCTGCTTCTTTGTTCAGTCTCCTCCACTATGCGCACTCATTAAACCCCTTCATCTATGGCTATTTTCCCTCATGTAAAGCCCATGACTCATCTCCTCGCCCCTCTGCTCCCAAACACCCCTGAAATCAACAAACATCCTTTGCTCTATGCTTTATTCCTTGATATCTTGATGTGCTTTAGATGTTGTGAAGTTCTTATGTCTTCTCTTGCATGACAAAAGTTATCGTTGGCGTTCAAATGCTTTATTTCCAACCAAGTGAAATTAAAGTAAATATAGTTGTTGAGAACAATTCCTTCACTGGACTGAAGTAATAGCAGTATTTGTGATGTTCTATTCATTGTAAAATGATGTATGTAATCTTGTGATTATCCTTTAGGAGTTTGATTATATGCTTGTGCTCATGTTAGTTCTTCATACTTTTTGATTTGTGATGACTTCAATCTAAAGTGATCGTGTGCTTAAATAATAAATCATGTTAGAGTAGCCATATTATCACATATTTTCTCCCCACAACGAGGACCTCTAGTCTGTTCATTTGATCTCTTAACGACAAACATCAAACTTACTGAAATGTAATTGGCAAGGTGGTAAACTATCCCTTTTGGAATAAGGGTTATGTGTTTGACCAAAAAACTGGTTTCGAGATTAAACAACTAAATATATATTTTTCAAGGGCCACTAACAATTTGTTTAATTCGAAACAGTTATAGATAATAAATAAAGACAAAAAAGAAATAGTGAAATAGATCAAAAAGAATGTTGCAACGGATAAAATTCTTCTTTCTTTCCAATCTCGAGCGATCTCCGATCGTGAGTATGATTGAAGTACAATTCTCAATCAAGCAAAGGCTAGCACAATATGATGTTTTGTTTTAGAAAGATTTCTTCTTTGTATTTTCGATGATCCTTCTTTGGAGCGTTGGGGCAACTTTCATAGCGATAAGAAGAGAAATGCCATTTTGGGATTCGAGCCAGCACGCCAGTGGATTAGATAGTGGGGAGCAGAATCCTCTATAGTGGCTTCTGTTTCGGCGTAATATAGATATCCACAATCCATGGATAAGTTTGACTGGGTCTCTGAATTCATTTGCTCACCTTTTGAGTACTTGACCCTTTGATGACTATAATCTCGGAACCTTCTGGACTCGACAGCAGGTCCCATCACTTGATCTCTATATCTTAATTTTCATGTGGGACTTTTCGTCCACGCCACGTGGAAAGGGTAATTTTTACCCATACAGTCATTCCCCCCACTTGTCGGGCAATTCAATGATGAATGCTTGATAAGTGGTAGTCTTCTTTCCTTGGTAGGAGTCAATCTTGCAGAGAACTCTTCCTTTGTAAGAAAGAGTTTCAACAAAACACAATCCTTAGGATTAATACGACTCATGTGCAGTCCATACTTAATACGCCAGGACACGTGGCCGTTTTCTGTTTGTCTTCCCACCCACTACAGTTCCTCGACAATGATGACTACTTATGATAGGGAAACTTTCCTGATTTTGGCGGTTACAGGAGGAGGATCCTCCCGCCTATATATATTGGATTGTGGGTCTCCCTATTAACTAAAATACCTTCGTTCTTCTTCTTCTTCTTTGCCTTTTTTGTTCCACTTACTTTCCAATCAACTCTCATTCTTCAACCCTAATGTTTGTAACTCGCATGGATCCCCAAGGGTTTGGCTTTTCTTCGATGGACGACCAACCCTCGACGCCTTTGGCCAGAGGTGCTTCCCAATTTCCGCCAGGGAATGTCCTCTCCTCCGTATCCATTGCTCCTGCGGGATCTTCATTTTCTAGTCCTTTTGATAAAAAGGGTTCCAAATCTCATAAAGGCAGAAAAGGCAAGCAGAAGCCTACGATCTTGGAGGTTCTTCCCAAAAGCTGGGATTACGAGGGAATAATTGAAGCATGTAACAAGGCGGCAGTGCAATGCGGGAGTTCACATGTTGATAATATAGATTCCCTTGTCCATGAAGAACACGTTCCCCTAATCCATCATGATTGTCGATGGGGTGGTCGTTTCGCCATTCACGTCTCTCAGGCGACCGAAGGAAATTCCAACTAGGCCAAATTTCTCCTTAGTCTATACTTATCTGTTCACCTTTGGGTTTAAACCCTCGATAGATCTATGATCTTCCACCTTTGTTGTCAGTTCAATATGAGCTTGGGACAAGTTGGGCCGAATGTATGGATTCTTGTGGCGTGCTTCCATTTATTGGTGAGTGTAGCCGACATTCCATTCTCCCTCTCGCACCTTCTACACCTATTTGCTCTCAAGTCACTAGGGGGGGGGGCATTATTTCGATGGCTAGTCGAGGTAGTCAGACCCTCGTGGATGCCAAGGATGACCACGACAGGGGATGGTTTGATCGTTTCGTCACAGTCCCCATTCATGAGTTTGTTAAGCCCGAAGATGGGTCTATTTCGGAGAGGTGGAATGACAGACGTAAGCATACTTTTAGCATTTCTTATTTTACCCTCCCCATTTTTTTTGTCTTTCGTTGATCTAATCTCCTTTTTCTCTCCCGACAGCCATGTTGGTGCTCCGGAAGGTATTCCGGACATTAAAGAGTGGGTCGAGAAGATTTTTTCATCCTCCCTGATAACGAAGAGGTCCTGAAGATTCATATCTGAGGTCTCGGAGTGGCGAGCCAAGGATAGTGGTAGTGTCCGTACCAACAATATTTCAACTATTCGGCTTCTTATTCTTACGTCCTTCTTTTTCCCCTTTCTTCTAGGCATCCTTCTGAGGAACGCCATTCCGCAAGTATTGATAAGGCTTGTAAGGACCCGTGAAAATTTCTACTCAAAACCCGAGAGCTCGTAGTGCCAAGTTAGGAATACGTGTCAGAAATTTGTAAAATTCTTCACAGCGAGCTTGCAAGCCGCGGTTCGGACCCTTTGGGTTGATCTATGTATTAAAAAGTTAAGGAAAAATATTTTTCAGAAGAGCGTGTTTCTGCGGTCCATTATGCGGTCGCATAATAGCTATGGGGACCGCATAGTCGCCGCAGAGTGAGGCAGTTTGATGGGTAATTTTGAGGTCAACTATGCGGCCGATTATGCGATCGCACAATCAATATGCGGGCCGCATAGCAATCGCATAATCTGCTTGAAATTTTACGAGGGGCAGTTCTGCGGTACATTATGCGACCGCAGAACAGGTATGCGGACCGCATTCTTGTCGCATACCCGGGCAACTTGTTTATGTTTTGGGAGCCATTTTTGCGGTCCATTTCGCGGGCCGCATGTCAATTATGCGATCGCAAATGCGACCATAGATTTGAGTCGGGGCTCCAAATTTCTAATTTTCTTACCCGACCCCATGTCGATATATTATATGCTACCCTTCATTTTAGGCCTATTTCTGATGCATTTAGAAAGAGAGAGAGGGTCCTAGAGGGAGAAGGGGTTCTTCATCAACATTCCTCCTAAGAACTTGCTTAAACCTTGAAGATTTGTCAAGAAAGGCACCTAGGTCTTCTCCTAAAAGGTAAGGTTCTATAACCCAAGCTCTTAATTACTAGATATAACTAGGATACACCATTAAAAGGGTAATCCATGAGGATGGGAGCGGATATCTTGCATGCATGAGTTCTTAATGTATTTGGTGAAGTCTTGAGCTAAGGATGGGATGAGGGATGGTAGGATCTTTCACAAAATGGTTTTAAAAGCATAATGCACACTTAGTGTTTGAAAATATGCTCAATTGAGCTAGAACTATGATCACCTCTCTAATTTGTGGTTCGATTTGCCATGTCCCTAAGGGATTGACGTTGCTAAGAGTCTCGCATTATAGTAGGACTTACGAAAAGCTCAATCGAGGTATGTAGGCTAAACTTTCTCTCTCGGAAGTGAATTCCATATTGTTTTTTGTAAGTTTAAGTGTGGTTTGTCTACCAAAATGGTATAGCCTTGAGTCACATTTTAAATGAAGGTTAGTATACTAATTGGGTGAGAAGAAATCGCTCTGTTTATTGCTCCTAGTTGCTCTTCTGTGTACTAAATGCCTTGATCGGATATGTCTACTTGTTGATAAACTATAAAGATGTATGGAAATGAATCGAATGAGAAAATGTGAAACAATTATGAAATAAGCATTGACCCAATCGTTATGAACTAACTTCAAAAAAAGTAGAACGACCTAAAGGTCTTGTACCCGAATTATGCCCATAAGTGGCTTTTTTAGATAATGCTTTGCCTTATAAATACATTCAATGTAATGCAAGTTCTTACACATTCCGATGCTAAAATTGTGCTTTTGTCATGTTGGAAAAAGGGGTAATTCAAGGGTAATAGAGTGATTGTTTGCTTACAACTTCAATGTGTATTTCAA